GCTCTTTCCCGCTATCGTTTCGACGGCCAGTATTCGAGCAGCCTCCCCGACCGGCATCGTCCGCAGGTCAACTGACAACCACAAAAACAACGACAGCCAGACCACGGTCGACATTTTCATCATCGCCATAGGAATTTTTTTTGTACAGGTAATACGGTAAATACTGTACGATCCGCTTTGGTTACAATATTCACGTATGGATAATAAGTATAATATAGATCATATAGATAAACATCTATGGATTGCACTGCCCGTTTATTACGCGAGTTTGTGCGCGCGTGAAGAGCTCCGAACTAGAACTGCAATAAAGGTGGTCGAATTTCATAAGTCATTACGTATTTCAAGCTGTACACAATAATACATATATATATTATATATTCTTGGTTTTAACTACCACTCACGTCATCCACACTGTTTTAATATTGCAAACAATTTACGAGTTAAAAATTATACATCTTTACATAGTTTATTACGTCATCATAGCTATATAGATCCGAAGCGTTTTGCCGTTTTGGTATATGTATAATAATATTATGTGTGTGAATGACTACGAGGTATCAATCAAATTACATAGGTACGGAAAAATGATGCCTGTTTTCTACTGCTCGCTTATTTAAAACTGGTTTTCAATGCCATGTCGATTTCGTCATTAGTTTCGAACGATCCAAAAAGTTTCTGGAATGATTGTACGATAAGACATTACACAGTATCCCAAGTTCATGGTCGAACCAAAACTATTTTTTATTATTTTTACTACTTCATTATTACGCACTTTTGCAATATTGACTTCCACATACATATACAGCGCATATATATATATATTATTACGCTGGTCCTTGAGTCTGTCTCCTAGTTTAAATTAACAATTATTGATATAATATAATATCATTATAGGCATTATTAATTAGAGTGATTATATTACTTTAGAGGTAGGATCATTATACCTTAATTTATTTTAACATATATTTTAGTTAATTTTTTTAAAGTCAATAGATAAAAAAAATATCCAATAGGTACATTTTATTAATAACGACTAATTATTTTTTTTATCTTTTTAATAATGTAACGGAATTAAATAACTTATATAGGAAATTGGAAGTGGGGAACCGAGCTGTCTAATTTATGCTGATTAATTGATACATTTTTTAGATTCTGAGCGGAGCGATGAATGTATTGGTTTTACAATGATGTATGTTTTTTTTTTATATTTTTATTTATATTTTTATTTATATTTTTGTGTCTGTCATCACGTTTTAGGACAGTAAAAATGCTTGGATTTTCTTCATCAGTAGCTTTTCTGGTAGGAAAGTGAATCTAGTTGGTACTTTGGGGGGTCAAAAGTATAAATTTCACAGTAGTTTTCACAAGCGCCGGGAAAAAGAACATAAAAATTAAGGAAAAACGGGAATTTTTACGCAAAATTGGTTTTCCAAAAAATCGATTTTGGTTATTGGTGTAACTCTAAAACAAATGAACGTATATACATGAAATTTTCACTGGTTGTTTATATTTGCATTTTCTATACACGATAACATTTTCAAAATATTTTGATTTATTTTGAACTGTTTAGGGACATTTTCATTTTCCATTTTTTTTTAGTTTTTTTTTTCTAATTTTTATTTATTGGTTGCGAAAGCTTGAAAATTTAATAGAAGGCTCCTAATATGTTGTTTCAAAGGCAGATGAAAAATATTAAAAATCCTTAGTCACAATTTTTTTTTATAAGCATTTAAAGTTCAAAAATTGACAAAATATGGAAAAATCACGAAAATTAGCAAATTATTTTGAGTTAAGAATTCGTAAAAATTTTTCTTTTTAAATCTAAGATTTGAAAATGAAACACAAGATTCCTTATAAGATTATCTACCTTTATCAATAAAAAAATCTCTACCGGACAGTCAAATTAAATTTTTATGATTGTTTGAAATTCAAATTTTTACAACATTGGATTTTCACTCGATTACTCATGTAGCGATTTCCTTATTTTGTTGCAATTCAAAAACGAACGACTGTAGATACATGAAAATTTCACTGAATGTTTAAATTAGCATTTTCTATACACCATACAATTTTGAAAATATTTTGACTCTTTTTGAGCTGTTTATGGACATTTACAGCTTTCAATTTTTTTTAGTTTTTTTTTCTATAAATATCAATAAAGTTTTATTTGGTGGGCCAAAAAGTCTGAAAATTGAATACAAGCTTTCTTATATATTGTTACAATATCAGTTGAAAAATTTTAAAAATACATAAGCACGATTTTTTTTTATAAGCATTTAAAGTTGGAATTTTGACAAAATTCATCAAAATCTCGAAAATAATCAATCGTTGGAATTAAAAAATTAAAAAATGTTCAGTTTTTATAACTAAGAGTTGAAAATTTAAAACAAAGATTCTCTTAAATAATTCATACTGTAACCAAAAAATCTAAAAAATATATAAACACACTTATTTTTTACAGACATTTTAATTTCAAATTTGGACGAAATTACATATTAAAAAACCTAGAATAACTATTTTAGTTATTTTGTTGTGATTGAATAATATTATTCGTGGGTACTTGAAACTTCTAAAGTGTACTATTATATATCTATGATAGTATCACGGTTTTTGTTGATGTATAACGCGTTATAAGTACCTAATGGATATAATTGTGATATGATTAATTTGGAATTTATTATATAGGTACCTATTATAGGTCAATTTTTTGTTTAATATCATAGATATGTATATAATATGTCTTATACATAGACTGACATACTGTCTCCGCTCAGAATCGTTTTTCTTATACAATGATATTATATCGTTGAATTAAAATTTAATATCATCCATTATACAGTGACCCACTTGTAACCTACTGTACAGCAGAGCGACACTCACTTGCCCACATTTTTTTTTTTTATTGCACTTATATTAATTTTAGTAATCCGTCAATTGCCGGATACACAACAACCATAATAATTCTTAAATCAAAATAGTAATAACAATATTAAAATTAATATTGAATAAAAATAATATATAAACATTACATGATTCGTGTCCAATGGCTCAGTATTTGTTATTATGACAATCGTTGAGTACTTGACTCACTGAGTTCTAAATTTTTCGTTTTTAAAAGCTTTAATGCATTTGAAAACTTTGAAGACGTTAATATGACTGGAAAAACGTAAATCAACGTTATCATTAAAAGTCATTCGAATAAAGCCGGGTAAAGATCTTCAGACATAGTAATCATTGCAATCATAAAATATTTAATACACTTATTTTAAATGTACCTATATTTTTTGATACTTATTAAAAATATATTTTTCTTTTTTTTTATTTTACTTATAATATTAACTAGACTAGACTTAACTAGACTTTCATTGGAAAATTATCATAATTATACCTATTTTATAAGTACACAAAAAAGAAAAATAGGAATACATAACAAATTAATTGATCTTGATGGCATCAATTAACACATTTTTCAATATCATAACACAACAAGAAATTCACCTAATGAGATAACCACACAACCACAAATATATATAATAACTAGATACCCTACTTCTTCTTATCAATGACGCTGGCAGCCATTTGCAACTTTGACAATGTAAAAGTAATATGATAATAAACAACTACATTTCATATCAAACAAGCCCGTAGCCTATCAAAACGATTAGAATTAATAAACATTGCCAAAGTCACAAATGGCATCGGGCATCATAGTTTAATAATGTTGTTGTATATGGAGTCGGGTATCTAGTTATTATATATATCTGTGCACAAAACTTTATAACAATGATAAAAGTTTGAATATACTATTTACTAATATTAGAAGTATTGCTAATCAGTAATCACATATCTGAACTAGATTGTCCAAATTCTGTAATAATTATTATGGATAAGAGCCATATAATAATTACTGCAAAATCATGGTTAGGAAATAATATTGATCAAAAATATATCTCGTTAAATAATTACCAATCTTCAATTTCTAAAAATCACACACAAAAACCGGATGGCATAGTTATATATTTATTCAAAAAGATATCAATTACACTATGGCTATATTTATAATACAAAATGCTAACTGTCTATTTACAACAATAACATTTAATACAATTAATTAAGTAATAATATTAGTATATACTATATAGATAGGTTTTCTAGTGGAAATATTATTTTAATTTATTGAGGATATTGAGGTAGTAAATACTAATTTATTCAAATATTATAGAATACTTACGTTAATATTAATAGGCGATATGAACATAAATCTATCTGATATCACAAACTATATAACACTATACTACGATTTCTCAAATTATTTTAATTTTATTCAATACGTTAATTGCCCCACAAGACCTCTGACCTTTAACCAATATAGTTGCATCATCACATATAAATTAGAGATAATCACAAACATTACAATATTCATCAGAGGTATACTCACTAATCACTGATCAAAAAATTGCACAACATATTAAAAATACAAATCACAACTCATATAAATTCGTCAAGTATTAACAACTAAAATAAGCAATTTACAAAACAGATTGGGACGAATTAAAAACTTTAAAACATGTTGAAAAGAAAATAATATCATACTTGCATAAATTAAAAAAATTAATTAAGTTTTCAAATTCTCGCTGTAAAAATAATGTCAGTAAGTTAAAACTCAAAAATTTTGCAATAAAAAATGTCGATTAGGCATAGTAATTTTATGAAACTTGAACTTGAAGGAGTAACACTAACTCCACTCACTCTCGATGGATACGTCATAATCAATTTCATAAATTAAAATATGTTTTCAATATTGTTATCAGAGTAAAACTCAAGTCAGTACGTTGGGACGCGTATAAGTGTAGTTGTATCCAAAAAATGGTGGCGTGTACCTAATCCCCTTAACACGGTAATTTATCCAACACTCACTTCTGGTATGGTTTTGGCGGGTTTTAGGTGTGCGCCACCAACGTAGAAACATTCGGGGTGACAGGTCTCGGTGACTCGGTGACTTAATGACTGTTCTGGAAGATTATGGACGGGTTGACGGTCGGCGCCAGGTCATACGGTCTCGGGTCCGAGACCAAGGTGATCAGCTGGTCGTACTTCATCTTGGCCATGCTGTACGTCAGCAGCGCCGTGTTGGTGAACCTTTGGACGAATGTGCCGGGCACGGCATGGCTGGCCAACATATTGGACACACAAGTCGGGTTGGACAAGTGACCGGTGAACCGGCGTTCGGCGAAAGTCATCATTGGCGACGGGATCGAGTAGATCACAGGCAGAAAGAGCGACGCGGCCAGGTACGAAACGCAGTCAAACGCCAGCGGCTCGAGTAACAGCAGGTCGTAGCGGTCACGTGCCTCGGAAGCCATTACGCCGGCCAGCTTCCGGTTGCCTTAGACCGCATCGCAGTAGCATCGGATCCCTCTGGACTTGGCATTCAATAACATGAACTAATCTCTAGCTTCCTGGATCATCATCATCACGTCCAATTCGAGTTTCATCGGGAAGTCGTGGGACGTATCTACCTCCGTGTAATTGGCCCGGTCACAGTCTGGAAACGTCGTAAAAACGGTCACCATGTGTCCGGCATCCGTTAGCGACCTGAGCACTAAGCTCATGAAGTACCAGTGGCTCTTTGCCGCAACCGTTTCGACGGCCAGTATTCGGACAGCCTCCCCGACCGGTCAATCGACAACCACCAAAACAACGATAGCGAGACCACGGTCGATCTTTTCATCGTCGCCATAGGAATTTCGAACGGGAAGTGGTCTACAGTTTGGTAGGGTTACGATAATATGTTCGTATGAGTAATATAGGTATAATACATGTATGGCCGTATCGCCGTATCGCAGCTATTATCACCACGCGTACATTATACGAGTCTGTATGCGCGAAGAGCTCCGGACTCAAACTGATATAAAAATAATTATTACATCATACCTATGTTATGGATCCGAAGGGTTGTAGTATTAGTATAACAGTATTATAAATGTGTACCACTACATTGTATCAATCAATTTACAAACGAAATAATTATGGCAGTTGCTTGCTGCTTACTCGTTGATTTAGCTAAAACTGGTTTGCAAGGCCGTTTCTATTTTTTTATTACTTTCAAAGGATCACAAAAGTTTTGTCAACGACGAGACATTATCGCCGTATATAATTAGACCCAAATATGTTTTAAATAGGTAAGAAATAAAGAAGTATTTACTATATCAACATTGTATACGTACAAATATTATACGTGCCAAGTACTTTGCCGAACCAGAACTTTTTGTTTACTACTGCTTACTTCATTATAATATGCGCACTATTGCAGTACATAATTAGTACTTACATATACATGGCACATATCTATTATTAAGCTAGTTCTCGAGTTTGTCTCCTTCTTCAACTTAACAATTATTGATTTTTATATTTCTATAAAGATAGGATTTTAATGTCTTGAAAACTCTAAACGATTTAACTAAAAATGTTAACATAAATTAAGTCAACAGGGAAAAAAAAATATCTCCCATATATTATATTTTTATTAATAACGGCTCATGATTTTTTATCTTCTTAATGATAATTTAACGGAATTAAATTACATATCTCCAAAATTGTAAATTTAGAACTATGCTATCAAATGTATGATGTTTAATTGATACATTTTTTCTTTTCGATTGTACTTATATATTTTAGTAATCTGTCTATTGCCGGATACATAACAATAGCATAACTCTTACATCAAAATAATAATTACCTATAGTAATAACAATATTTATATAATAACAATATTAAAAGTAATAGTGATAATAGTAATAGACAAACACTATACGATTCGTATCTAAAGGTGCAGTAATTTATGTCATTATATTCTTTGACTACTTGACTCACTGAGTTTAAATTTTGTCGTTTAGCTATTTTTAAATATAAACTTATCTTTTACTATTAACAAAATTGTATTATATTTTAGACCATTTTTGTGTAAATTTCATGCATTATTAATATCATTAAGATGTATTTTATTTCAGGAAAAAATAATATTTTGCTTTATAACATAGCCGTATGCGCGCAGTGACGGGCAGTCCCTTTGTTCCGTTGTCACCGTTGTCACTGATTCGGCGAGAACGTAGGTACTAAACTTTCACGTGTGAAGTGACGATCGTATTACAGATTAAGCGTTTTGAATTAGTGTATTATTTATATTTGTTTTACATTTTAAAAAAAGTGTTTATGACAATGAAACTCGAGTTTGAATATTATTTCAAGTATTCTTCGTTCTTACATTTTGAATTGGAACAGTGCTGGGACATACATATCTATAAACAATAAAGTTTATTTAAACAGAATAGCTCTATGGTATATTATGAGATTCTAGAAGTCATTCCAATTTTGAAGGAAAGTCCATAGAATCAACAAACGCATACCATCATGCCTCAATAAAGCTAACAGTGCTTATCTGAATTTATTTAAAAGAGAGTCATTAGCTTGACCATACGATTGTAAGGCGTGTAGTAGGTTTTAGTGTCTTACCTTCTATCACTCTATATACGGGTGATATCAAAGACGCATGACTATAATATTATAATATATATGTACATTCCACCGTAAGTTTTCATCGAGAGTAATACCCAGGTTCCGTGCACCAGGTCCAAATATTGTTGATACATTGCTCTTTGTTTTTACGGTAATGGATAATAAATTTAACGATAGGCACATCTTTTTTGTAAATTTTAAATAATATTTATTATTTTTAAGAATAATGAATTAAAAATTTACCTTACATCTCCAAAGTTGACTTAACAACAAAATAAAAAGAGGGTAAGTGGATGTCGCTTTGCTGTACAGTAGGTTAAAATTGGGTCAATGTATAATGGATCGTATTAAACTTGAATCCAATGATATAATATCATTGTATAAGAAAAAAGATTCTGAACGAAGATGGTTTGTCAGTCTGAATATTTTATATAGTTATTATTTATTATAGCCTGTAAGTTGAATTGATATTTAAGTATAATAATTTTTTATTCGTTTCTATGGCGATAAGCAATAAGCGGTAGAAATTAAAATACCATTTATAGCGGTTTTTTGTAATTTGTTGGTGGTTTTTCCCCGGGGCATTAAATAACTATTGAGAGAATCAAAAAATGACTTCTTTTAAGAATCATCTTGATCCAATTTTTGCTAAAAGATAAGATACTATATGTTGAAATCGAAGCACTCCTTCTGGTAGAAATTTTGTATACAGGATAAAAGATTAAACGCCATTGTAAAACCACTAACTTCCTCGCTCCGCTCAGAATATAAAATGTTTTCAAATAATTATTCTTGTGTAAAAATTAAGTCAGTATTTTGCCCCTCGTTTAGATTTGATTTACAACATTTTACAATAAAATAGTTTCGATTATAAGCATTTTATGACACGTGAATGTGAGTACGAACACAACATCAATTTACTACCAATGCATTCAAAATCGATTTCATGACGAATTAAATATGTATTATTTATTAAAATTTTTCTTAAAAAAAACGGAGGTGTGGAATCTCCTTAACACGGTAATTTATATATCACTCACTTTTGGTATGGTTTTGACGGGTTTCAGGTGTATGCCAAACACGTTGATAACGTTCGACGGGACAGGTCTCGATAACTCAGTTACGTAATGACCGTTCTGGAAGATTATGGACGGATTGACGGTTGGTGCCAGGTCTACGGTCTCGGGTCCGCGAACAAGGTGACCAGCTGGTCGTACTTAGTCTTGGCCATGCTGTACATCAGCAGCACTGTATTGGTGAAACTCTGGACGAATGTGTCGGGCACGGCGTGGCTGGCCAATATGTTGGACACGCAAAAAATATTGGACACGTGACCGGTGAACTGCAGCTCGGTGAATGTGATCATCGGTGAGGGGATCAAGTAGATCACAGGCAGACCCGCTCGTTCTGGAACGAAACGCAGTCGAAGCCAAGCGGCTTGCCTCAGAAGCTATCAGGTAAGCCAGCTTATGGTTGCCGTAGATTGCGTCACAGTATATTCGTATCAGTCCCCAGACAAGATATTCATCAACACGAACGGATCTCCATATTCCCGGATCGTCTGCATCACGTCCATATCGAGCTTCAACGGGTAATCGCCGGAAGTGTCCACCTCCGTGTAGTTGGCCCGGTCGCCGTCTGGAAATGGCGTGAAAACGGTCACCGTGTTTCCGGCGTCCGTCAGCGACCTGAGCACTGAACTCATGAAGTTCCAGTGGCTCTTGCCCGCTGTCGTTTCGACTTCCAGTATTCGTGCAGCCTCTCCGACCGGTATCGTCGGCAAGACAACCGACAACCATAAATACAACGACAGACTGACCATGGTCGACATTTTAGGGTCACCGTAGGAATTTTTTTTTTTGTATAGGTTATTTTGTATAAGTATTTGATAGGTATAAATGTATAATATAGGTATAGAATAGCACCACGTGTATATTATGCGAGTTTGCTCACGCGTGAAAAGCTCCGGACTCGAACTGATATTATAACTATTACATCATACCTAGGTTAGGTAGGTACCTACCCGAAGCGTTATTGTCTTAGTATAATAATTGTTAAAATATTAAATCATAATTTAGTTTTCACCCTGTATATTGTATACAATAAGTAGTATTGTCATACTGTAAATTAGCTATACAGTAATACATGTATAAGGAAAGAGAAAATGCAGAGTTGACATATTTTCAATATTGTGTGTATACGGCAGTTAGAAATATTAGTTATAGTATTATTATAATTAAGATCTAATGGCAGTCGAGATATGCGACCCGTTGGTGATATAAGTTTCTTTGTGCATTGTATTATTATATGGTTTCAAATTCACTGTATTAAAAATCTTTTTTTTATTAATTCAACTAAACATTGTCTGTATTACTTTATTTATCGCTTAATTTCAACAATAATATTATAAGTGTTTACGATAACATGTTGTGAATCATATTACATACCAAATAATTTTACCAGTTGCCTACTGCTCGCCCGCTTGTTTACATAAAACTGATTGTCAATGCCGTTTGGATTTCATATTAATTTCGAACGATTAAAAAAGTTTTGTGAACAAGTGTATGATAAGACATTATCGCCGTACCCTTTTACGCCCACATTCCAATGACATATTGTGTTTTAAATAAGTATGAAATGAAGAAGTATGTACTATATGTATCAACAGCCATTATACAGACAAAGTTCATTGCCGAACCAGAACTTTTTTTTATGCTCCTAAATCTCTATTAAAATTTAATATGTAAGCACTATATTGCACTAGGTACTTACATATTACACAAGGCTCTTATCAATTATTACACTAGTCCTTGAGTCTATTCACTTCTTCTTTTTTGATTTAATATGAAATCATTATACTAGTATAGTGAATATAACTTTACTATAGAAATAGGATTTTATTGTCTTAAAAACTCCTAAATATCTCCGATATGTTTTTGTAATAACGACTCATTCCTTTCTTTTATTTAATTTAACAAAATTATATATAACATATCTCGGAAATTAGTAGTGGAGAACCATAAAATCTAATTTATGATGTTTATTTGATGCACTTTTTCTTTTCTATTGCGCTCATATTTAGTCTGCCGGACACACAACAACCATAACTCTTACATCAAAATATTAATAATAGTAATAACAATTTATGTAATAACAATATTAAAAGTAATAGTGATAACAGTAATATATAAACATTACACGATTCATATCTAATGGAGCAGTATTTAATATCATAACAATCGTTGACTACTAGACTTACTGAGTTTTAACTTTATCTTTCTTGAAAGTTTTTATACATTTGAAAACCTTAAAGACAACAAATATGAATAGAAAAATAAGAATCAACGCTACGGCAATTATATCTAACAAGAGGTATTGATACCAAGTGAGGTTCAGAGCGTGAGATATCAAATGTGGCGCGCCTTTATGACGGATCACATACTCCGTCCAATATACAACCGACTGTTGAGGTGTCATCGGCCGATCTCTGAATCGGTTGGAAGCAATTTTAGCATTTTTTGAGTATCTATTAACAAAATTCACCCATGATGTAATATAGATTATTGAAAACGACTGGCATAGAAATCAAATGTCTCATTCGTGTATTATAGGGTTCGTCCCGTATTGTAAAATAAAAATAAAATAAAATAAAAAAATTCGTAATAAATAAAATAATCAAAGTCATACTTTTCGTCGTTGATGAGTTCCGAAATGGCATTAGAAAGTTTTTCTTTAGTCGTCGACAACAGGTCCATGGATATCGCCATTCCGTTGAGGACCAAATTTTCAATGTTTCTCGGCTGATCGTAAAACACTGGAATTCCCAATACGGGAACACCGCCATCCACAGCTTCGCACACTCCGGACATACCCCCGTGACTGATAAATAGTTTCACTTTGGGATGTACTGTAAAAAATATTATATTTTATTATTTTTTTTACATTTTTTCAGGAACGAACGACGATAGGTTTATCCAAAGGTTGGCATTAACTAGGTAGTTAAATGTTAAAGTTAAGTTAAAAAGTTAATTTTTTTTAAACTTTTTAACTTAACTAGTTTGGTTATTTTCTAATCAACTTATGAACTTAACTAGTTTAATTTACAGTTGAAATAACTTAACTTTTTTCAGTTGATTTTATAAAAAATCATCAAGTTAAAAACATTTAAAATTTTTTGTTTATACGTAAATATTACTGTATTACGATCGCACACCAAAAGAGTAAAACTGCGTTAGACAGTGTTAGTCATTTTCGTCAGTCAACTAAAAACAATTTGTTTTTATAAAATGCACACTACCTAGACAAAACACCATTAGACAAAACAAAAATCAGTTGTCATCATATTGTCATCTGATGAAGATGTAGCGATTTGCATGTGGTACATATTACAAAATTTAGAACAGAATCATAAAAAAAAAGTTATGGATTCATCCGTTAAATAAAAAACGTATCACTCATAATGTACCTAATTTTAACTTTATTATGCGAACTACGTTCAGACGAAAGTAAATTTAAAAATTATACACGTGTAAGTAGTGTTACATTTGATTTTAAACTGCAAGAAAAAGGAGAAGAAAAAGGGAAAGAAGATACAAATTTTAGAAAAAGTATTTCTCCTGAGGAAAGGCTTTTGGTTACACTGAGGTAAGAAATCTAATTGTTTTTTTTAATCATTATTATTTTTTAATAAATATAAAATTAATCATAATATTTAGTAAACTTAAACTTATAAATCTATTTTGTAGTTAATTATGTTTTAAATTTGTTTATATTATTATTATAACTTATAAATTAAAAAAAAATATCATCTGAATGAATTGTTACTTCCTTGTGAGGACGAAGATAAATCCGAAGCAAAATCACTGTAGTAATTGTATACATTTTGATAATTCTATCATCGGTTCTGCTACCTTATCACTTGCTGTTGTTTTATATGCATTTTTACGTAAAGTTAATTTTGGTTTTTTAAACATTGGTTCAATAATGTCTCGTTCACTTTCCATTACTGTATTATCTACTATATTATCTCCTGTATTTCCTACTACTAATGTATCATCTTCTTCAGACTCTACGATTTCTTCGGATTCATTTATATAATCGTTATCGATGTTGCTACCCATTTTTTTATGCTGCATCATAAAACCAGTTAAAAAACTCATACTATCAAAAAGGTACCATTTTCTTTTTTTAGAACCAGCTGACCCAGATTTTTTTATTTTTGAGTTCACGAAGTTCCTTGCAAACGAATTACGAAGACTAGTCCACTTACTTTTGCATACCGACACTATAAAAACCAATACAAACATTTCACAAAATAATCATTCAATGGCGTACAAAGAATATGTTTACAATTATGATTAATAACAATTTATACATATAAAATTATGTACATTTCAATATTTAACATACCTGCTGTTAATTTTTTTTTTTAACTAATACATACTTCGTTTAATTAAGAATTTATAATGGTCCATGTAAAAAAAAGTTAAAAATTGGTAATTTATTTAAACATTTATTTTTTAGTTTTTTGGCTTCTGGTGAACATTTTCAACGCATCCATTATAGTCTTAGATTAGGAGCTACCACTGCGGGTAAAATTGTCAATGATACATGTTGTGCATTATGGAAAATACTATCGCCACAGTTTATGCCTCTACCTTCGACTGATGGTTGGTTGAACATTGAAAAAGAATTTGACAAATTTTGGAATTTTCCTAACTGCGTAGGTGCCATAGATGGCAAACATATAGCTATTCAATGTCCACCAAATTCAGGATCTAGTTATTACAATTATAAAGGACCCCACTCTATTATTTTCCAAGCAGTAGTTGACGCCAACGCAAAGTTTATATTCATAGATGTAGGTGATTTCGGTCGTAACAGTGATGGAGGAATTTTAAAAGAATCAAATTTTGAAAAACTATTGGACAATAATAACCTACTTTTACCTCCACCGAGAAAAATTCATGAAGAAGTCGAAGATGAATTCCCATTTGTATTTGTTGCGGATGAAGCGTATCCGTTAAAAAAAAAATTGATGAATCCATTTGCAAGAAAACAATTGACTAATCCGAAGAGAATTTATAACTATCGTCAATCACGAGCGAGAAGAATAGTAGAGTGTGCTTTTGGTATTCTAACAAAACGATTTAACGTATTTGAAAATAAAATGTTAGTTAATCCGGAAAAAGGTACAATCATAACTCAAGCTGCTTGTGTACTTCACAATTTAATTATGGACAAAGAACATAATCTAACTGACATTCATAATGAAATGGAAACCTCATCACGGGTAAACCAAGAAGACATCATCAACAAACCTACAAATCGCAGACCACTAAGAGAAGCTATAGATATTCGTGAAAAGTTTATGAAATATTTCAACTCTGAAAAAGGATCAGTTCCATGGCAAAATGTATATACTGTTTAAATACCTAAGCTAAAATTGTTTGTTTTAAATAAATAATTTTTTTAAATAAAAAAAATACTGTTGTGTTGTGAAACGTTGACAGTACACATTTTTAACGACAGTTATGTTGTTTTAAATAAGTAATGTTGTTTTTAATGTTTTCAACTCCGTACAAGTATACAATTTGTAATATCTTATGTAATAATAATGATTCAATAACTTGATAACTTAATAATACTTTATAATAAATAATAATACTTTATAACTAATATATTCAAATTACCATCAACATTCATTTCTTTACTTATTTCTTCCCATAACTTGTCTTGCACAATTCGATTGCTATGGCCCTTGTCTCCAAAATCATAAATGGATGGTCTTATTTCCACTAAACTTACTAGTATTTCTCCATCACAAGCCATTATGTGATAAGTATATAAAAAATATATACAAAATACAAAATACACACGAATAATATTCTTTCTTGTCTAGTTGTGACTAACGAAAAATGTGGACACTCAGACAGTATCAGTCATGACTAACTGTGATTTAAAGCAAAAACGTTTTGTTTTGACTATGTCTTATTAATGTGCGTATGCAACGTAATTTCCTATGTTCTATTTTTAACAAAACTGTGTTAGGCTGACTAACACTGTCTAACGTAGGTTTGCTCTTTTGGTGAGCGATCGGCCTATATAACCTATCCAATACTAAAACACAAACATTTCTGTTCTTTTTCTTGATAACATTATTTTGTGTATATTAATATATTTTATTAAGTTATAGATTATATATTATTTGAGTTGCAATTATAAATGTTTCTAATAAAATTAATAATTTTAAATTACAAATTGACAATTGTTATGTTTTACTTAAAATATATGTGAAGTTCATGTACTCATCTTCAAGTATTATGACATTCAATTGCTATACGATATAAAAAAATTTATTTGTTAAATTATTAATTTGAGATGAGTTTAGTTTAAATTAATAAATAATATTAAAGTAAAAGTAAAATGGTATACAGTGTACGTTATGATAAAAGTTCAATAAAATTGTTTTTTATAATTTATAAATTAGAAACTAGAAAGACACATTCACTCTTTACGTGATTTACATACCAATTAAAAAAAAATAGATTAACTTATTTTAAACTGAGTTAAGTTAATATTTTTTTCTATATTAACTTTTAACTTATCGAGTTAAATTGATAATTTGTCAACTGTTAACTTTAACCTATCGATCTTGTGTCCTCTTAACTTAACTTAACTTGAATTAATTATTATGATTAACTTGCCCACCTTTGGGTTTATCCACCATAAAGTGTACTTACATAATATTTCTCGTTGAGGAAACCATTTTCTCGTCATCACGTTTTTCGGTTTGTCCTTCATTTCACCTTCGTATTTCCACAAAACTCTCTGAGGAATGTCGGCAAACGCTTCTTTAAACGATTGTTCAATATGTCCCGGCAACGATGACACTTTAATCGTAGAACCAAATGTGAAGAAAATCACTCCTTGGGGTGAATCTTCGATAAAATCTAATATGTCCTTGAATAAAAATTTATGATGTTACTTAATTAAAATAAAAACCGTTATTCTTATATATTTATGTATTCGAATGAATTACAGACTTTTGAATAGGTACCTAATTAAAATAAAATACAAATGAATGTTTTTGAATGCAAAAAAAAACATTTTTTTTCTTTCAAATGCACGTAAATGTGAACACGAATAATTTGTTTATTGATAATTGATAACTTCACTATTGATTCGCTATGAATTGACAAAAATTGAAGCAGGATTTTCTAACCACAAAATGAAGATACTATTTTTTCAACAAACCAATTAAAATATTGCCACAATATATAGGTAATATTAACTGTTACCTATCGGCATTTACTATTGTTATTAAAGATTAGGATGTTATAACTTTTACATTTTTAATTTTTTAGGTGTTCACGCATTACAGACTTAATTATGATTGCATGCTTATTGCTTTGTAAGACGTCATCCGCAATTATATTAAATTTTATTTTGCACATTTTAGTATAATTTGGCACTTACGGTATTTTAACTATAAACTTATCTTTTAGTATTAACAAAATTTTATTATATTTTAGACCATATTTTTGTAAATTTCAAACATAATAAATCATTAAGTATTTGATTTCAAAAAATATTTTTAAAAACTATACCTGTAATTAAAACAAATCTTATATTATATTATTAAAAATTAAAAATTATTTGTACTATAAAAAATGGTTCATTATTTAAAACTAGGTAGTCTTAGGTTTCTAAACATATTTTTGAAACACCTTATCTCCCCGTTGTATCAGTTCGTTAGTTTTTACTTCTTAGTACATTGTTACGATTGTTGATATATTATATGGGGCTAGGTAAATTGAGTCCGAGATAAGTTTGGTACATTTTGAAAGCGGTAAATTGAGTCCCGGGAAAAAACAGGTAGGAGGTAAGTTGAGTCCCGGGAAAAAAAAGGTAGTAAGTAAATATTATTTATATAAAGATATATAATATTTAGATTTATATAAATTAATTTAAAAAAATTATTGTTGTTAAAAATTATCATTATTATTATATATATATTATGTACTTGGTAAAAACTTCATTGATATTGATTTAATAAACTCAAATCGGGTTATAACATTACCGGTGTATTTGGTAATTTGCTCCCTTAGGTTTTGTTCGTTATCGATCATGCTTTTCTTTTTTTTAATTTTTACTTATTAATTTTATTTGTGTCTCTGACTGAACTTCAAGTAATTCATCAATAAAGTTAAAAATATTCGGATGTGGACTGTAAACGCGTCGGTTTAATCTCGAATGATACGATTCACAACTATTGGTTGTACGTACGGTTGTAGCAGCAAATGCGAACCAAATATTCGGGGGAAATCGGTGAGATAGTAAGATGACGGTATCTTACTATCACACTATATATTATAGTATATACGTACGAACAAGTCCTTACTTATCGGTACCTATCTTAATTGTGTTTAACCAAAGGTACGATGTTACAAAGTTATGGACTTTTATTGAATGTGAATCCTTTGGTGTTGTTAAGAGTGTATCGTTGGGGAAAAATATTATTATATAATTAATAATTATTATTTAAAAATCGTTTCCCCGGGACTCAACTTACCTACTACCTTATTTTTTCCGGGACTCAACTTACCTACTACCTGTTTTTCCCCGGGACTCAATTTACCGAGTTAGGGTCATTTGGGACTCAATTTACCAATCCCGTATTATATTGTTGGTTTCTATGTATTTATTGTTCGTAGCATAAACCTATAACTTGCAATGATATTTAAAAATATGCTGAATAGAGCTCATCAAGGGGATGTACCTCCTAGTATTGGGCTTAACGTTTTGAATTAGTGTATATGTTTGTTTTACATTTAAATAAAAGTGTTTGTGATCTGAAAACACAAGTTTCAATATTATTTCAAGTCTTCTGCGTTCTTACCTTTTGAATTGGAATTCTGACTTTTAGAAAGAGTCATTAGCTTAGAGTGCCTGAGACCCTACGAGGCTTGTTGTAGGTTTTACCGTGTGTCATTCTATATGCGGGTTATATCACAGATGCATGACTGTAATAATAATATAATCTATGTTTACATTCCACCGTAAGTTTTCATCGACATTAATAAACAGGTACAGTGCACAAGGTTCAATTATTGCTATTACATTTCTTTGTTTTTACGGTAATAGAAAGTAAATTTAAGAATAGGCTTGTAGTAAGGAGAAAATACGTGGGGGACAAATTAGTTGTATAGGGGAGAATATGGTGGTAGGGGAAGGTAAAGGTTATAGGGGAGAGATATGTGTGTTATAATAAATATTGGAGATTTCCGCATATGATCGCCCTACTACTGTGTTGTACCTAACTGTCTAATGATATTTGAATTACCTACTTTTATTATATAAACATTTAAACACTTACCTCACTGTAGCTAGTTTTCTTTTAAGTGGTTTGTAGTTCTTCGGGGTCGTGTTCGACAGTCGATATCACGATGACAATATATGTATATTATTTTATGTGATCTGTAGGATTTCGTATATAATTTCTACCTGTGACTATCACCATATGCTCTTAGAATCCTTGCATTAGCAATAGTTGTACGTATAGTTTCTCCGCCAACCGAATGTAATTTAGAGTGATAAATATTTGTTATTACACATTTATATCTTGAACACAGCTCTTAGAATTCCTACATTCGTCACAGCTAGTACGTATAGTCCAACCGCCGACCGAATGTAATTTAAGTTAATTGAGCACTTACTTCTATACTTATATTCTAATAAAGCTCTTAGAATCCCTACACTCGTGGCAGCTAGTACGTATAGTCCAACCGCTGACCGAATGTAATTTAAGTTAATAGAGCACTTACTTCTATACTTATATTCTAATAAAGCTCTTAGAATCCCTACACTCGTGGCAGCTAGTACGTATAGTCCAACCGCTGACCGAATGTAATTTAACTGATAAAGAGACAACCAATTTAAACAGACATACCGGGTGAAGGAATGGTTCAATATACATAATATTGTATACGCATAAACGCACAGTGATGGCTTGGACAGCAGTGGAAAAAGATCGTGGTGTTGACTGGCGTGGACCTTGTGCATCTCCGGAATAGACACTGGCGACGAGTCGATGCTCTGTGGCCCTTATATAATGTGATTTTGGTTGATCCCTTCTTCTTGTGCATCAATTAAAGTATAGATATATTTTTATTATTTCGTGTGGTGCGACAACAGCTGGTAATTTATAGTTTTGTTTTGACCAAACGTCTTGATTGGAGAATTATCGAAGGGGACTTGAAGTATATAATATATATATATGTGTACGTACACGTGTGATGTACGTATATGTATATGAAAGAATGCTTTCATGATTTTATGATATACGGTGTTTTCTGGCGCCGTTGATATTTGATTGTGTTGTCTCCACTAAATATCTGGTCGGAGAGGTGTAGAATATTATTTATGTGTTGCAGGTGCTGAGTGTATGTAAAAGAAGTGCGTATATTGTAGGTATATATTATGTACCTAATGCGTACGTATATATGCATATCGGACCACCCAAACTCCATAATATGGTCCGTTTTCATTATTTGTCTCGTGTTTTATTCTAACTCTAAATATTATATATTACAGACTCATTGTTTTTTGAAAATTTCAAGTGATATTTATTATTTTTAAGAATAATAAATTAAAAATTTAGCTTGAAACTAAGTACTAACTAACTACAAGTAATACCTATAGTAGGGGCGCACTGGATACTCACACAAATGTTTATTTACTACTCACACAACATCACTACGCGACTTCACTGATAAACTAATCATCTATCGTTTACTCCTTAGAAACAGAGCGCTTAAGGTCCCCTTAAATCAGTATGTTGGAATTAATTTAGATCTGATTTACAACATTTTAAAATAAAATAATAAATATCGATTATAGGCATTTTATGACACTTGAATCTGAGTGAGTAACACTAATCCTACTTACTATCGATATATTCAAAATCGATTTCATATTTAATTAAATATGTTTTCAATAGTGTTCTTGAAGTAAAATTCAAGTCAGTACTTACTACGTTGGAGCACGTATAAGAGTATTTTTCTCCAAAAATCGGTAATTCTATGTTATCTCCACAGCACTGTAATTTATCTTTCACTCACTTTTGGTATGGTTTTGGCGGGCTTCAGGTGTATTCCACCCACGTAGATAACATTCGGCGTAACCGGACTCGGTGACTCGGTGACGTAGTAACTGTTCTGGAAGATTATGGACGGGTTGACGGTCCGCGCCAGGTCATACGGTCTCGGGTCCGTGACCAAGTTGATCAGCTGGTCGTACTTCATCTTGGCCATGCTGTACGTCAGCAGCGCCGTGTTGGTGAACCTCTGGAGGAATGTGCCGGGCACGGCGTGGCTGGCCAACATGTTGGACACGCAAGCCGGGTTGGACAAGTGACCGGTGAACCCCCACTCGGCGAAGGTGATCATCGGCGATGGGATCGAGTAGATCACAGGCAGATCAAGCGCGTTAGCCAGGTACGAAACGCAGTCTAAGCCCAGCGGCTCGATTAAAAGGAGGTCGTATAGGTGACGTGCCTCGGAAGCTATCAGGTCAGCCAGCTTCTGGTTGCCGTAGATTGCGTCGCAATAGATTCGTACCACTCTGGACCTCTCATTCATTAACACGACCGGATCTCCAAATTCCCGGATCGTCTGCATCACATCCATTTCAAGTTTCATTGGAAAGTAGCGGGACGTATCCACCTCCGTGTAGTTTATCCGGTCACCGTCTAGAAATGGCGTGAAAACGGTCACTGTGTGTCCGGCGTCCGTCAGTGACCTGAGCACCGAGCTCATGAAGTACCAGTGGCTCTTGCCCGCCACTGTTTCGACGGCAAGTATCCGAGCAGCCTCCCCGACCGGCATCTTCCGCAAGTCAACCGACAACCACAAAAACAACGACAGCCAGACCACGGTCGACATATTCAGCGTTGCTATGGGAATTTTTGTACAGTTATTTGGTCTACGGTCCGATTGAGTTACGATATTCAAGTATAAGTAATAGGTATAACATGGGTATTGACGGTATTAGCACCGCACGTATATAATGCGACTTTGTGAGCGAGCGAAGAGCTGCGGATTGGAACTATTATATAACTAATATTACATCATACCTAAATGATTGAGTATCCGAAGCTTAACGTATTAGTATAATAATATTATAAGTGTATACGATAACGTGTTATCAATCAAATTACGTAGGAAATAATTATTGCAGTTGTAGATATGACTTTATACTTAGTTATAGCTTTTTGTTTAGCAGTCTCTTATTTCGCCACATAATGATGTCACGTGTTTTAAATAGGTGTGCTAAATAAATAAGTATTAATTACTATATTTATCAACAACCATATTTATACATAACAATTTCATTGCTGCAACTTAACTTTTTTTTTTGCTACTCCATTATAAGTATACGCGGTATTGTAGTAAATACGTACTTACCAAAGAATATGAATAAATATTATTCATACGTTTATGGTACTTACATAAACATGATGACAGTTCGTGTTCAACAGCCGACCGTGCAACACGTGTTCTTATCGCACTGTTCGTTTTATAGCTTTTCTATAGCACAGAAAACACGTCGACATTCGGAAAGGTAATATGTTTTAATTAATATAACACCCAACCGCATATATTCACGAAATGAATAAAAACCCTACGGGCACTATGCCCAAAAACTCCACAACCAATCGTTCATACACACCCATCTCAAATCCTACCATTTCTACACTTAAAACCAAAATAAATAAACCACCACAAAAAACCGCGTCGATTCAACAATCAACCAAAAACATAGTAGTGCAAGGCACCGACCGTAATATCTGTGTTCCCTCCACCCCAATGAGCAATCATACCACACGCATCGCAGTCAATAACCCCCTTCTACTCTCCGCCACAACGACACCGTCCAGCGATAACAACCGCACCGCAGACACTATCGCTAAACACACAAATAATAATATACCCACTAATGACCTACCTATAATATCTTCATCGAATAAGACGGACAACAACAATATAAACTTCGCGTCTGCTGTCGCCATGGAAAAAAACCCCAGCCGTGAACAAGCCTTAGTCTTTAACACTATTGATGGAATACCACAAAAAGATTATGTTCTTGCAATAGGAAAAATTGTTTCTCCTAAAAATATAACGTTTATCTCTAGAATCTCGAATAATCGTTTTTGCATATTTCTGTCCAGCAAACAAATACTCGACAATTTATTTCAAAAAACCCAATCAATCAATATCAATGATCAAACTATACCTATACGCAGATTGCTAAACCCGGCAAAAAGATACATTATATCAAATGTATGCCCATCTATACCCAACCAAGCAATCACAAACGCACTAAACGGCTTAGACATTTTTCCCATATCTCAAATCAGCCACCTCAAAGCGGGTATTAACATTGAAGGTTTCGAGCACATAATGAGCTCCGAAGACAATTATACATCAAACACGAAGACATTCCTAAACTCCCCAACTCATTACCTAGTTATTACAACAAACGAATCTCAATTCAGAATTTTTTTCACTGATGATATAGTTACTTGTTTCATATGCAAAGCTAGCGGGCATACCTCAAATAATTGCAAAAATATAAATGCTACACAAGGAAAAAACTCATCATCTAGCCCAAACAAACCCGATGAATACGCTATAGATCAAACCGAATTAATTGAAAATATCCGCTCTCCGACAAGTCCAACCCTTGATATCCTTGACCAAACCAAATCAGACTTGACCGAAGATTTCAAAGAAACCAAATTTTTAACTCTAACTCAAAACCATCTCGATGAAGCACTTTTCCACTCACCAATTGAAACACAAAAAAGACTTATGTCTGATTCTTCATCATCTAAACCTCCAGATTCCCCTAATGCTTTCCTACCATCTACCTTAGTTAAAAAAAATGAAAAACCATCAAGAAACCAAAAATACAATCTCGCTCAAATTCTTCCAACAGTCTCGATATAAATTTGGACGAAAAACTAAATCCAATCATCGAATACTTCACCGCAAATGAGCACTTACCAATCACATACATTCAATTTAAATACATTCTGGACAATTTCAACAATAAATCAATAAACATCCACACACTTATCGAAGATACAAACACAAGCATCCCTATCTTAATGGACATAATTGAACATATTCATCCTAAAATAAAAGACAAGTCACTCAAATCACGTATAACAAAGCTAAGAAATCTACTTTTCCAATCTCAACCTCTTCAACAAAATTCCACCTAAAACTAAATCTGCCTATACAAAATATAACAAAACCACACTAACAATTTCTAAATCTTCGAATTTCTTAACCATGGACTCTATTATTCAATGGAATATAAACGGCCTACACAAATACCGACATCCACCGAGCAAAAGTTCTCATCCAACCAATCGCCTTCTGTTTTCAAGAAACCAATTTAAGACCCAACACTATTTTTCCCATAAAAGGATATAATGGTTTTTACAAAAATCGTCAAACATTCCTACGTGCAAGCGGCGGAGTCGCTATTTTCGTCAATAACATCATTGAAAGCACCGAAATTCATGTCCAATCTCCACTAGAAGTCGTTGCTGTCTCTATACGTCTCAAAACTCCCCTATGCATTTGTAACATTTACTTACCGGATAGTGCAGATCTATCACTCAACGACCTCAATGATATAATTAAACAACTACCCAAACCTTTTCTTTTCCTCGGCGATTTTAATTGCCGAAACCAAAGCTGGGGATCCGATCACACCGATTCCAGAGGTAAAACGTTCGAAAAATTCCTAGAAAACGATCAAATAACATTACTTAACTCCGGGGAATACACACGCCACAATGCAGCTCACAACTCTTTTTCGGCCATTGATCTCACAATATCAAATAGTGCTTTCGCTCCCAAAACCGAATGGAAAGTCCTAACAGAATACAGTACCAGCGACCATTGGCCAATAGCCATAAAAATTCTTAACGAATTACCCAAAATACACCCACTCCCAAGATGGCGCCTCAAAAATCCAAATTGGAATCTATACAGCGATATTATAACTCAAAATCTTTATGATAAGCCATTTAATCTTGAATCAGCAACGAACCAAATTCAAATCAACCTAATTATTGACCATTTTTGCAACATTATACTAGATTCCGCTAACAAGACCATTGGCAGAACCAACACACAATTAAAAAGAAAATCCGTCCCCTGGTGGAATAAAGATTGCAATGATGCAATTAAGACATATAAAAAAGCACTAAACCGATTCAAAAAAACCAAACTAGCTAACGACCATATAAACTTAAAAAAAGCGCGTGCTCAAGCAAGATTCATTACAAAAAAAAGCAAAACAGAATCGTGGCAAAAATACACGAGCCCAATTAACCCTAACACATCCCCAACGGAAATGTGGAATAAAATTAAATCGATTAAGGGCATAAATCATCAACCACTACCACCTAACTTACATTTTAATGACGATACTCTCTCGCTACCTTCAGATATAGCCGAAGCATTTGCACAACAGTTCAAAAAAAAATAGTGACTGCTCAAATTATGACCCAGAATTTATTAAATTCAAAAATACCGTCGAAGATAACCTCAAAAAGGAACTAGAAATCAACTTTCACGAAGAAGATAACCACCTTAATATGCCCTTTAGTCGAAATGAACTCTATACTGCCTTATCCGGATGTAAAAGCAAAAGCCCCGGTCCCGATGGGATTCCTTTTTCTTTTATCCAAAACCTACCCACAATAGGTCATGATATTCTTCTCCAAATATTTAATATTATTTGGAACAGAGGTATATACCCTGATCAATGGCACAATTCGATTATAATACCGATCCCTAAACCCAATAAAAACAAATTCGATATTATCAATTATAGATCTATTTCACTTATTAAAACAATAGCAAAAACCATGGAAATAATGGTCAATAAACGACTAATTTGACACTTAGAATCATCCAAACAAATAATTAAGGAACAATGCGGCTTTCGCAAAAACCGCACTACCATTGACATACTCGCCACCCTCCACACGGATATCTGCAATGCTAAAAATAAAAAACATCACCTCATACTAATATCTTTAGATTTAGAAAAAGCATATGACATGGTATGGTGGAATAGAGTCCTCGAAATCATACAAAACAGTGGCATAAACGGCAAAATGTTTCTATTCTTACAAAATTTCCTAAAAAATCGCAAAATCCAAGTCAGAGCCCTATCAGAACTATCAAAAATCCACCAAACAGAAAATGGACTACCCCTAGGGTCTGTTATCAGCGTTACAATGTTTTTATTGGCCATCAATGACATTTTCAAAAACATACCGAAACCCACAAAACATCTACTATTCGCCGATGATTGTCACATCTACTGCAGCGGACAAAACACCAAAACAACTGTGGATATATTACAAGACGCACTAAATATACTCCAAGATTGGTCTCACAAAACTGGCTTCAAATTCTCTGCTGGTAAAAGCCAATGTATTACCTTCCATACTAACCCTAGAGCAAACATACAATTTCACCTTAAAAACTCCCCAATACCCATTTGTGAAAATCTCCGCGTACTTGGAATGATATTCGACAATAAACTAAGATGGGGCTCACACATAAAAAAAGCTCAAAAGTACATGCAAAGTCCGAATGAACATCATAAAAACACTTTCCCACCATACATGGGGCGCCAAAACGAAATCACTTATCACAGTCTATAAATCCCTTATATTATCACAAATACAGTATGGTGCCCAAATTTATATTACAGCCAAAGAAAAGCTATTAAAAACATTGGACCCAATCCACAATGAGGGTATTCGTCTATCAATAGGAGCCCCATTGACATTCTATGCTATGCTGGAGAACTTCCCCTCAATCTACTTAGGGAAAAAGAACTCCTAAAT